GAAACAAGCCACAACACAACAAAATTAGCACAACACAACGGAAATGGTCCTATGCACACAAACATATATATTTGCTACTTTTTACCGCATGAGCACCTCTTTAATAAATATGGCGCCGCTTTTTTTTAAGCGCTGTTACTGTTGAATGAGCCGAGGGATTTAATGCAGGGTCTAATGAATATCCAAATTTTGATATCCAGTATATTTTCACGAACCCTTAAAGTTTCTATGGGACAGTACATTATATATCACCCCATATCATGGTGCCATTTCAAAAACGGAGTGTTTACATTAAGTGCAACTAACCAGCCTTTTTGACATATAGGCTATTTACACTAATTACGCTCACCAATGTCCGTTAACTTAATTTAACACTAATTGTCACTTAGTGTAAACAGTGTATCCATAAAATACTTTCTATTGTCAATTAGTGTAAACAGCATCTAAAATATGCTACTTACACTGCATATAGCCGCTGCCTTCTATAAAGATAACTAACACGCAAGCTTTATATAGTGGTAATGGACTAACAAAACCTTAATTTTGAACAATTTACTATACCATACTGATGATTTTATGGACTCTTGAACTTGCACATATTATCACTGTTGAATTCATTTCATAACGCTGTTCTCGCCACCACGTAAATGCTTTAAAGCTAAAATTTGGGCTTCATACTAGAGTTAATGGTCTAAAAATATTACTAATTTTAAAGAGCTTTTACTGCACCAGGATTTTTAAAAGACACTTTAAATTTGCATAGCCATATAAATGACTTGGCTAATGGTTTTAAAATAATTGGTACTAAAATGCCCAAAATTTGAATTTCGCTAGACCATTGCCTCTGGTATAGAGTCCTTAGTTTTAATGCATCCTCTATAGTGGCCAAGAAAGGGAGTGGGAGCATTTCCATTGTGCTGCGGCGATTTTGTTGTGTTGTGCACTACTGGTCCACCGTACACAAATACTGAGGAAAACATTCATTTTCTGCAGTTCATGCAACATTTAATGCCACGACTTTATGAATTTAAGACTTTCTGCTCTGATTTAAGACCTTTTTAATGCCGTCATTTGTGGAAGGGCGAATTAAGACTTTCTAAGACCCACAGAAACCCTGACTGTTGCAGTTGAGATGGTGAAGGATGATTTTCACGTCTCTTCTCTTCCTGCAGCATGACGGATAACGTGCGGCGTGTGATGTCTAAAGACGGCCGCAGTAACGTGAAGATCGATAACGTGGAAGGGATGGTCAAGCTCTTCCTGCACGACATCTGGACCACAGTGGTGGACATGAAGTGGCGTTATAAGATCACGCTGTTCGCCTCCACCTTCGTCACCACGTGGTTCGTGTTCGGAGTCGTCTTCTACCTCATCGGCCTGAGGAACGGCGACTTCCACGCCGACCCGTCGTCCAATCACACGCCCTGCGTGATGAACGTGGACACGCTGACTGGCGCCTACCTGTTCTCGCTGGAGACCCAGACCACCATCGGCTACGGCTTCCGGCACATCTCCGAGGAGTGTCCTCTGGCTATCGTGACTCTGGTGCTGCAGCTGGTCATCACGGGTTTGGCTGAGATCTTTGTGACCGGTGCGTTTCTGGCCAAGCTGGCGAGACCCAAGAAGCGCGCGGGAAGCATCAAGTTCAGCCGGTTGGCGGTGGTGTGCAAGCGCGGCGGGAGCTGGTGTCTGATGGTGCGCGTGGCCAACATGAGGAACAGCCTCCTGATTCAGTGTCAGCTCTCGGGGAAACTGCTGTCGACCCACGTCACGCAAGAAGGCGAGAAGACCCTCGTCCATCAGAGCAGCGTGGACTTCCAGCTGGACTCCAGCAGCGAGTGTCCGTTCCTGCTGCTGCCGCTCACCTTCTATCACGTGCTGGACGAGCGAAGCCCGCTGAGGAGCCTCACGGCCGAGAACCTGCCCAAACAAGACTTCGAGCTGCTGGTGACCCTCAACGGCACCATGGAGTCCACAGCCGCCACCTGCCAGAGCCGCACGTCTTACCTGCCGCAGGAGATCCTGTGGGGTTATGAGTTCAAGCCTGTGCTGTCCGACACGACCGGCGGGAAACTGGCCGCAGACTTCAGCTTCTTCGACAAGCTGCAGGCCTCCAGCGAGCCGCCGATGATCCACAACAACACGGAGAAGCTCCAGCTGGAGGAGGAGTACAGACGGGAATGAAGAGATCAGACGAGTGTCAAGAATGTGCTGGAAAACCAGCTTCAAAATGAGCTGGAAAACACCCTAAATCATTCTGGAAGAGGCAGATCTGATCTGGAAACGTGGCGCGTTGGCTGCTTCTGTGGAATACAGCAGCATCCATCAGTCAAAACACTTCAGATCAAAACGACCTGATTTACTTAATTCATGATCCTGGTCTTGTTGAGAATGATTCATCATCAGTGACGGCATTTTAAAGTAATTGATTGTTGTGATCAATATATATATTTTTATTTTTGTGGAAACCGTGATGCATTTTATTTTTCAGGATTCACAGATGAATAGAAAGTTCAAAAGAACAGCATTTATTTGAAATAGAAATCTTTTGTGACATTATAAATGTCTTTACTGTCACTTTTGATCAATTTAATGCATCCTTGTTTAATAAAAGTATTAATTTCTTCATTGTATTTAAAGGCCTAGTTCACCCAAAAATGAAATTCTGTCATTTAGAACGTTTCGGTTCCCTTGCTGTCTATGCAGGGTCAGAGAGCTCTCAGATTTCATCAAAAATATCTTCATTTGTGTTCTGAAGATGAACGAAGGTCTTACGGGTTCGGAGCGACATGAGGGTGAGTAATTAATGACAGAATTTTGTATTTAAAGGGCTAGTTCACCCAAAAATTAAAATTCTGTCATTTAGAACGTTTCGGTTCCCTTGCTGTCTATGCAGGGTCAGAGAGCTCTCAGATTTCATCAAAAATATCTTCATTTGTGTTCTGAAGATGAACGAAGGTCTTACGGGTTCGGAGCGACATGAGGGTGAGTAATTAATGACATAATTTTTGGGTGAACTATCCCTTTAAATCTTACCGGCCCCAAAGCTTTATAAGGTAGTGTATCATGGTTTACACACAAAAATTCAGCTTTGATCACAGGAAACAATTACATTTTACTGTCTCTTCACATAGAAAACAGCTGTTTTAAATTGTAGTAATATTTCACCGTTTTTACTGTATTTTTGATCAAATAAACGCAGCCTTGTTGAGCAGAAGAGACTTCTTTTAAAAACGTCTGAACTGTAGTATACACTTCGAATCAAAATTGCTCTATATACTTATTTCATCATGTTATGGTATTATTGGGAATGATTAATCAGTAACATTATTTAAAGAAATTAATCATTTGAATATAGTGACTTTCTCCACCATCCATTGCTCTTATTCATTATTCACTTTCACCATCCAATCAATTCACAGTTCATATTTTCTCCGTGTCCAGGTTTTTTTCTGTATGTTTCAATCCATTTCACACGTTTCACAATTGTTTTAGGAAAACTATTTGATCCATGTTTCTCCCGAAATAAATATAGTGACTTTCTCCACCATCCATTGCTCTTATTCATTATTCACTTTCACCATCCAATCAATTCAGTTCATATTTTCTCCGTTTCCAGGTTTTTTTCTGTATGTTTCAATCCATTTCACACGTTTCACAATTGTTTTAGGAAAACTATTTGATCCATGTTTCTCCCGAAATAAATATGACACATTTATAGTATTTGTGTTTTAAATCCAACAAACTCTGAAAGATACATTGTCTTAAAATGATTGTAGAGTTCAAGACTGTTGTGGCAACAGAGACGCTCAGATGACAACAGTGTGTGTGTGTGTGTGAGAGAGTTTGTTCGAGTGTGTGTGTGTGTGTGTGAGAGTGTGTGTGAGTTTGTGCGAGTGAGTGTGTGTGTGTGAGTGTATGAGTGTGTGAAATCTGTAATGGAAACCCGGCTAATGAGAGTGTTTCTTAACTCAAAGCAATAAGAACACCATTGCTGAAAATAGTTTATTAAAATGATTCAGTAGAAAACCATATAATTTATCCAAATATATGTTTTCTTCCCTTTGTCAACAATCTCAGCGCATCAGGGCTTGTGACCGAACTGATCTGATCTGGATTCAGTCGGTTTGAGCCCGTGTGCCGCGCCAGTCCAGCGTCATACGAACACACGCGTGTTCACTGTAAACCACCCATCATACAGAGAATCACACGAGTGCGCTCTGATTACATGTCTGTTCGGCTGGCTGAGATCAACTCGTAGTGTTTAAATGCATAAGTTATATATCTATTATAGAAAAAGAATTATAACACTGAATTGTATACTTCAATCTAACAAACGCACAGCGTTTGCGACTCGGAACATCATAATAATTAATAATAATACAAATACTGGTATCTTTGGTAAATCTGTTTCTCTCTGTAAGGCACTGGTTCATATAAATGCACCTCGTCTGTAAAGTTTTGAGGTCATTAAAACGTCTGAAAGCTTCCAGTTTTCTACAAAGATTCGTCATTTTTAAGGCAAACTTCTGATGCCACACGAACAACATAATACTGATAAATTTGGCAAGAGGCCTGTTCACACTAAGAACGATAACTATATTGGCTGTTTATTATAAACCTGTCGCTTTAAATGCTCGAGCTCTTTAAAGACGGTGGATTCTGATTGGCTGTCAATGTTTTTATCACTCATCGTCTGGAAAAAAAAATCACCCTGAAAGTGATTCCAACGAAATCGTTCATTTGTGTCGTTATCGTTATAGTTGTGGCATGAACTCGTTATTCCTTTATCATGATGCATGATGAATCGTATATTAATCATGATCACCATTTCTGCTTCTCTCAATTTCGTTAAGCATAACTGTCTGCAATATTTGCCCGCTGGTTATTTATCCTGTAAACACTTCATTTTTATTTGACATTGCCATTATTTTGCATCGGTAGCAAGCTTTTACAAGTGTTCACGGTTGCCAGATGTAAAGTGTTTAAATCCCCCAATCAAAGCTTTTCTCTTAAATTGATACATTTTCTGTCCAGTGGTTTACAGGGTTGCCAAAAAAAATTTGATAATCAAAACTAGCCCAATCATGTTTTATGTGGTTTCTGTCGAAAAGAGTGTTCTGGGGAGATCGCTTTAACCCGCAGACTTCAAAAACAACACGCATAACAGTAAAACTGTGGATTTGGCAACCCTGGTGGTTTATTTAATTTATTCCCAACTTGGCAACCATGCGCTCGCGCTCTCTCTACATTATGGAAAATATTGGAGTTCATCAGTCTCCACTGAGATATTCTGCTCAAATAATAGCATAATAAAGCCAGTCTGTTTGCGCTGCTTGCTGAAACTAAATCGAAAGCAAGTTGATTTATGCTTATGTGAAACTGCAATCAATCTGATGAAATACAAAATATGTGATTATATTTTTTGAGCAAGTAATCGTGATTAACCGTTATCGTGCAGCCCTACGTTATCGTCCTTCATGTGAACGGCCGTCATTCTTCATCATCTCTCATACCTCAGTCCTGTCTTCCTCTTCCTCTCACCTTCTCTCTCTCAGACCTTCTGAACTCTCTCTGATATGTTTGTACAATAAGGCACACATGAACATATATACTTGATCATGCAGCGGCTCATTAACATGCTATACAGCCACGTTCACATTCCGGCTAAGCTTCTGGATGTGCGAGCGGATCGCAGACGGTCTCCTGTCTAAATACGGTGAGTGTTTCTCTGGCAGCAGCGCCGGCGGATGGGTTGCTCTCTCCAGTCTGGTGTGTTCTTGAGATGTTTGAGATGTCTAGTAGTAGGAGCCCAGATGCGAGGGCATGTGCGCGGCGGGGTGTCGCGGTCCGCTGTAGATTCCCGCCGCCGCCGGAGCGTTCCAGTACGGACCCGGGCCGCCGAAGAAGCCGGACGAGGCGACGTTCATGGCCTGAGTGTGTGGAGACACGAAGCTCATCTTCTGCGGGTGCGGGTACGTGCTCATGTAGGACAGCTCGGCGGGGTACTTGTAGATGGAGGAGTCGGGCGGATGCGGCTGCAGGGCCTGCGCGATGCCGTGGAAGTCAAACTTGTAGGCGTAGCGCTTGCCGTGCACTTTGGTCATGATGTTCTTGTCGTAGTAGTAGCGCAGGGCTCGGCTCAGCTTGTCGTAGTTCATGTTGGGCTTGCTCTTCCTCTCGCCCCAGCGCCGCGCCACCTCGTCCGGATCCGTCATCTTGAACTCGCCGTTGGTTCCTTCCCACGTGATGCAGGACGAGTTGGAGCTGTTGGAGAGAAGCTCCAGGAGGAACTGCCACAGCTGGATCTGACCCGAACCTGAAACACACAATCATCTAGATCAGTGTTTCTCAACCCTGGTCCTGAGCGCCCCCCAACACTGCACATTTTGTGTGTCTCCCTAATCAAACACAGCTGATTCAACTCATTAGCTCATTAAAAGAAACTCCAGGACCTGAAATGGGTGTGTCAGAAAAGGGAGACATACAAAATGTGTAGTGTTGGGGGGCGCTCAGGACCAGGGTTGAGAAACACTGATCTAGATCATCACTAGGGCTGTCCATTTAATGCTTTAACTTGGTGCGATTAATTATTGAACAAATGTGACCCTGCAGCACAAAAGCAGTGTTAAGTCGCTGGGGTATATTTGTAGCAATAGCCAACAATACATTGTATGGGTCAAAATTATACATTTTTCTTTTATGCCAAAAATCATTAGGATATTAAGTAAAGATCATGTTCCATGAAGATATTTAGTAAATTTCCTACCGTAAATATATCAAAACTTAATGTTTGATTAGTAATATGCATCGCTAAGAACTTAATTTGGACAACTTTAAAGATGATTTTCTCGCTTATTTATTCAGAAAACATTGGCCCTTATGACTGGTTTTGTGGTCCAGGGTCACAAATAAAGTGTTAAAACGCAGTGCCCCGTCCAGACCTGTCCGTCAACTGATGAAGCATATTAGAACACAGCCTAAAACTCACAAGCGCAAAAAAGCTTTTGCTCTTATATGTATATCATATGATATAGTTTAGCAATATCACATCAGCAAGAGTGCTGCTTTTCCCCAATATCTGCATGACTGCAAATGTGATATTGATTTATCCAACTGTTCGCTAAACAAGAAGTTAATATTGTTATATTTCAGACACATTTCTATCAACATTGTCTGTTTTTGCTCAGTTTTGCAAATCAAAGCCACAGCAGAACTGTTGACCGTCTGTGAGCAACACACAGCGGTGATTCGTTACTGAATTAATCCATGTTTTTGAACGAATTGAGCGAGTCAGTGCTTCAGTGACTCATTCTTTAGGAGTCATTTCTGAATGAATCAGCGGTTATGAACAAATCAGTTAAATGAATGATTCAATGACAGTCACTTGCTGCCACCTACTGGAGCTTTTAGTTCAGTATCATTTCATTTAACACAATAATGAATAAATTATCTTTTGGGGGGTCATTTCTCAGCCCAAATTGATGTGTGATTAAGTAATTGGCACATCATGTCAAAATTTAATTGTTTGGCAGCCCTATATATCAAACAACTGTTTATATAAATTTGTATATATAAGTATATCCAACTTTATTTGCATACATACAGTACACTCACGTAAAACAATATATACTATACACTGTATCTCACCTGCTGGACTGTTTATATTGTAACAAAACTACATTATCGTCCAGCTCTAATCTGATAAATGCAACTATAATGCAAAACAAATAACAAGTAAATGTACATCTTTGACTCTCACCTGGATTCGCCAGCCTGCTGCTTGTCGGCCCTAAAATCTGATATGGATCTACAGAGAAGACGGACAAGCAAACATCAGAGACCATCCTAGTGATGCACTTCAGCTGATTTATGCTTTATTTGATTAAAATCAGGACATGATATGATCCCTCAGTCGCTCTAACAGCGTGTGTGCAGTTCCCATGATCCTCTCACCTAACTGAGCTCTCTGCTCTTCGGTTTTGGTCATGATGGCAGCAGAACTCGGAGAAACTAATGAACACAGACATTCGGGTTAAGCGTGAAGCATGAGCCGTGTAAGGCTATCACACGCGCATGCGACCGACCTTTAGCTGCAGACGCCGGCTGAGTCCATCCAGAGCGCCTGGCGTCGAAACTCACGTCTGCTCGGCTGGGTCCTCTGCTGGCGTCTGGAGGGAAGACGGAGGTGTTTGGGAAGATGAAGCTGGCTCCTCCTGAGACACAGATCAGTGTGAGCGACGTCTGTGTCTGACACTTTCAGCATCAGCAGCACATGCAGGAGAGCACATGCGCGTGTGTGAGCAGTGTGGGCGGGGTCAGGGGCGGGGCTACAGGGCTGCTTACCTGTATTACGAGCATGCATTAACCGCGGGGAGTTTTGCAAGGCTTTGTCAACATCATCTGAGGTCAAGTGAGGAAGTGGAGCTGAGAAACAAAACATTCATGACACGTGAAAAATAAAGAGAATCAAACAACTCAACAAACATCCTGTGACAGAGAGAGAAACAGATGAAGACAGAAAGCTGCATGCTGTGTGTGTGAGTGTGTGTGTTTGTGTGTGTGAGTGTGTGTGTGTGTGAGTGTGTGTGTGTGTGTGTGTGTGTGAGTGTGTGTGTGTGTGTGTGTGTGCGAGTGTGTAAGAGAGTATGAGTGTGTTGTGTGTGAGTGACTGAAGAGAGAGTGTGTGAGTGTGTGTTTGTGTGTGTATGTGCGTGTGAGAGTGTGTGTGTATGTGCGTGTGTGTGTGCGTGTGTGTATGTGCGTGTGTGAGTGTGTAAGTGTGTGTGTGTGTGACGGCAGACAAGAACGTCTGTCTCTCTCTCATCTCATGCATATCAAAGAACTCAAAAGCCAAACCAATCTCGTCTTCATGTTTCACCCCAAAATCAACAAGAAATAAATCATTCTAATATTTTACATTTAAACCATGAAGATGTTTTACACTGTGGCACATTTACATGAAACTCTAGTTACTGTAGTGCACAGAAATCTCATTCTCATCACTGTCATGTTCATTTAAATCAGCATCATAAAATCATCATCGTTAAAGTCAGTCGCATGATATAATATAAATACTGTACACGGTACAATAAGAACTGAAGGTGAATGTGCTTCTGTTTCAATAATGCAAAACATTTCTTAAGACTTCATCCAAAAAATCATTTATTTCAAAATAATATATTTTCAAATTAGAATTTAACTTCATTAAAAAATATGAAATTATACTATAAAAATATTATTAAAATTATAAAATATCTTTAAAAAATATAATTATTTTATATAATAAGAAAGGAAAATATTTTTTTATTTGATTTTAGGGGGAAGCATGACCTGCACAGGTTTATCGAGACTCACAGCTATAATAATACACGACCTGGAGTGTGTTAAAATCATTTAATGCACAACTAGCCGTGCATTATCCCGCTTATACCATGCTCATTTGCCAGCACTGACAAGTTAAAGCTGTTAATGATGTTTTACAGCGCAATATTTGACCGGAAGGGTAAAAACGATGGTTATTTTCATCAGTTACGGCTCGTTAGTTCCAGCATTCTGTCCGCTTCAAATCAGACACACAGATGAAATAGTGCAGTTAGATCACATTTATTTGAATTGATTATTGATCGCGAGAGAAAGAGAGAGAGATGACACTTGTGTGTGTGAGTTACACGCGTCTGTGTGTCTCTCTCTACAAACAATGAAGCTGTAAGTTTAGTTACTTCAAAAACAGTGATTTCACCTCCTCATTGCTGAGGAATATAAACTAGGCTATTTTATTAATAAAAGAGGCGTGGCAGCGCTGACAGCAAGTTTCTGTGCTCCTGAATGTTTCAGTGTGTGCAGTGCAATCTCTGATCTCTCTCTCTCTCTCTCTCTCTCTCTCTCTGTGTGTGTGTGTGTGTATGTGTGTGCATACGTCAATGAAAGCAGCGCATTAATACAGAACGGTGATTAAACTGACTTGGAACTACCTGTGCATTAAACGGTTTTAATGCATACCTGCCAGCCAATCAGAATCAAGTATTCAGACAGACCATGGTAGAAGAATTAATAATGCATGTTATCGCATGTTAAATGCGAGTCGTGTGACCGTGAGGCCAGTGATCAGAGAGTTATGAAGCGCCATGAGCTGCTGATGCAGACACGCACTCGTGCCGTGTGAAGAGCGTGTCAGATCCCACACGCGTGTCACTCACTCTCTCTGAGGTAGTGCAGGTGAGACAGCAGGATGTCAGCCGTGTAGCTGCTGGTCAGACGCTGGACGTCGTCTTTGCTCATCTTGCAGAGCTCCCACACACACACACAGACACAGACACAGACACACGATTCAGATGTGCATCACCGGAAGGAAATATCAGTATTTATATGAAGAACAATCTGAAGTCAGAATGCAATTATCTTGTCAACGAGAGATTCTCAAACTTTAATGCAAATATAAACTACCATTCAAAAGTTCTGGGGTAAGTAAGATATTTCTAATGAATTAATACTTTTATTCATCAAGGCCGCATTAAATTGATCAAAAGTGCCAGTAAAGACATTTATAATGTGACAAAAGATTTCTATTTCAAATAAATGCTGTTCTTTTGAACTTTCTATTCATCTGTGAATCCTGAAAAATAAAATCTATCACAGTTTCCACAAAAATATTGTGCAGCACGACTGTGTTCAACATTGCTAATAATCAGAAATGTTTCTCGAGCAGCAAATCAGCATATTAGAATGATTTCTGAAGATCATGTGACACTGAAGAATGGAGTAATGATGCTGAAAATTCAGCTTTGATCA